ATCTGAAGTAATTCTGGCATATTCCAGTTATACGCCCGTGGCATTTTCTTTTCTTCGGGGACTTTTTCTTCTTCAGGATTATATGAATTACAGAATGGATGTTCAACATGTTCATTCACAGTCGTAACTTCCTCCTCATTATCATCAACAATACATTCTTCGACAACGGCTGTTTCATCATCAAAATTCGGGTATTGACCAATATCAAAATCATTACACGCAGGGTCTGTTTCTTCTTCTGAAACATCATCAAAATCCGTGTATTGACCAATATCAAAGTCCGGATATTGACCAAGACCAAATTTCGAATACTGACTAGTACTCACAATTTTTTCTGTTGGCTCATCATCGTCTAACTGGTCAATAAGAAAACCGGAATTTGGTGCTGAAAGTTTATTGGGATTTGGATTAGAGAAAGGTTGTGGGTTTTGAGAAAAACTTAGTTGATTACTACCCGCTACTGACCCAACAATACTACTTCTAGGTTCAACAACATACAATGTAACATCATCTTGTGAAACACTAATGTAAGCAATGAATCGTTCAACATCTTCATTGTCGGTTAACAAATAAACTTTACCATTTCTCTGATAAGATAGCCTAAATCCACTTAGGGGCTCTAAATTCAATTTATTTGAAACACGTAGCATTAGAGTTTCATAAGTTAACTTTTGTAAAGACAATTTTAGTTGAAGATTCATGGGTAAAGGCATATATTGTAAAACACCATGAACATTATCCCATGACCCTCCAAAACACAAATCTATCCAAACATGATCAACATTAGATGATTTCATGGTTGTAAATTAATTTACTAAACAGACGAGCTGCGAAACTAAAACTTGTTGCCGGATTGGGAAGGATGTCGTTGGATATAGGAACGGATGTCGCCGGAGAGAGTGATAGATGGAGATGGAATGAGTTGCGATTTAGGGATTTAGTTTATGATTTGCTGCTGTTGCGTAGTTATATACCCAAAATTTCAGTGTTGTGATTTACAGATTCTCGTTGCGATTTACGGATTATCGTTGCGATTTACAGATTCTCGTTGCGATTTACTGATTATCGTTGCGATTTACGGATACGCGTTGCGATATACGGATACGCATTGCGATTTACGGATACGCGTTGCGATTTACGGATACACGTTGCGATTTACGGATACGCGTTGCGATTTATGTGTTCGCGTTGCGATTTATGTGTTCGCGTTGCGATTTTCATATTCGCGTTGCGATTCTGTAAAATCGCAATGCGAATTTGTACTATCGCATTGCGATTGTCAAGAATCGCGTTGCGATTTTGGAAACTGGTTTGCGATTCTGGGGATCGCGTTGCGATTTTTATTTCGCGTTGCGATTTTGTTGGTCATTTTGGCAAATCCAAAAAAAGTTGGTTAAAATCGTATATTATAAAGCATTTTTGGTCACTGAGGCGATTTTCTCTTAATCAAATTGCCTAGAGTGGACCACTAGCCTTATTATTATAATGCTCAAAGTAGGACCATTATCAATGCCCACCACAAAACTCAATTGGAAAATCAATTTGCTTTTTCATTATGCCCCATACCTTATTACTAAAACTACACAAGTAATATATTATTGATGACTAATTAGAGTAAACCATGTTTCCAAAATTCAAATCATTTGTTTATTATAAATAATGTGAACATTCATCATAAATATATAGCACCACACAAATTAATTACTATTACTTGGGTTTTGATTATTTTACAAGTTGATTATGTTTACATTTTATCCATCCATAAAATTTGAGTTTCAACTCTTCGATAGTTAAAATAAATAAAATTCAGTTTAACTTAACAAGATATACTTTCTAAAATTTTGAATTTTTCGATTCAAATTGATTTTTTATTTATATTTTAATTCTAATTTGAGTTTGAATTAAAAAAAATAAATAGTATAAAAATAAAAATTAAAACAATGTTGTTTCAGTCTTTAATTATGTAGTTTGATTATTTTTGTGATTTGGTTCCTGGTCTCTTTATTTTTTTCAATCCTTCCTTCTTTTTAAGTGTATTTTTTTATCGAATTTGATACATGTACTCCTCAATCACTTTAGAATACTTGTATAACTTCAATTCTTTATTTTGACAATAATTTTTCTATTTTTAATTTAATCATCAACTTTATATTTTATTTAATTTGTTCCTTCAATTACAATTGTTTGTAATTTTTTGTTCATATCAAATCTTTAACTCCTTTATATTCCCATAATCTAATCAATATTTTACCTTTAAAATACACACTTACACAAGTAAAAAACATGGAAAAAATATACAATGTATATGATCAGAGGAAATCACTAAGATCAAAACTAATCATTACCATAACAATAAAAATAATTATTTTTTAAATTTACCCTAGTAATAAAAGTAGATATTGTAATAGTAATTTAAAGCAATGAAGCATAAAAATATGAATGGTACGTCAATAAGTCCCCCTCTGCTTGGAGCTAGAGTCGGTCACCCGAGTCACTTTTTCACTCCCAATCAGCTTCACCCTCTTTTGAAAGGCTATTCTCCCTACCCACAAAACAAAACTCTTTCTGTATCTTTTATAAAAAAAAAACCCACATTTACACGCTGCCAAAGAGAGGTCCGTGGCGTCCAAGTCTTTCTTGTCGTCTCTCTTCTCTTCCATTCATCGGCCAAACGGCGGGGAAGATGGTTGTAATAATGAGAGAAAGAGTCGGTGAAATGGCACCTTTTACGGTGATGGTGATAATGGAAGCTTGCACCATAGCGCTCACTATTCTGGCCAAAACAACCATAACAGGAGGAATGAGCCCTTTTTTCTTTGTAGTTTACACCAATGCTGTTGGCTTTCTCTTGCTGCTCCCTTTTTCCTTTCTTCTTCACAGGGAAAGGTGCCTGCAAGGCTACAATTTCCTCTTATCTTTTCCCCTTCTGTGTGTACTACTCTCTCTTCCATTTCATTTTCTTTTGTTTGTTTGTTACTGCAGAACAGACCAGTCGATCTTCACCTTCCCACTCCTCGTGCGTATATTTTTACTGGGTTTAACAGGGTCGCTTCTCTTCTCTCTTCACCTTGTTTCAACTTCTTTGAAATGAAAAACGATCGACTGATTTCTTCTTCTTCTTTTCTGGTGGTTGATTTGTGTAGGATAGCTATATCAGAGAACCTTGCATTTGTTGGATTAAGCTATAGCTCACCCATCGTTGTATGCGCAACTGGTCTCCTAGTCCCGTCTATTTCCTTCTTGCTTTCCATCCTTCTCAGGTTCTTCATCTTCCCAAAGCCATATTCTTCTTGTAATCTATTTCGTTCAGAAAAAAAGAAGGGAAAACTTGTGATAATAACAACACATGCATGATTATCATATAGGACGAAAAAGCCCAATTTGAGTAGCAGCGGTAGCCAAGCCAAGTTATTGGCACCTTGGTTTCAATCATTGGAGCGAGCCATCGTAGTAGAACTGTATAAAGGCCCATTTATACGAAAATCCTTTTTCTTCTACGGAAACATTACCGGGTTAACCATGTACCCAAACTCTTTGTGTTCTACTCAGCACCAGATCGTTGGATTCTCGGTGGTGTTCTGCTAATGGCTGCATCTTTATCTGTTTCATTATGGAATGTTATTCAGGTACCTGATGAAGAAACTAGATGGTTTTGGTTCATTTTATCGTTCCTTATTTTTCTTGGTCCGCTCGGGACTGTTAAACTATATCCACAAGTTATGAAGGTAGCATGGTTTTATAGCTTAGTTGGGACAATCCAATGCCTGGTTTTCTCTTTGTGTATGGAAAGAGAGTTGAATGCTTGGAAACTGAAACACAAACTGGAGCTCCTGCTCGTTGTTTTGACGGTAAGGACAAGCAAACCCCAAATTCTACCAGACATAATCGTAAATGCACTAATGTATGATGATTGAGTAGTTATTATGATCTTTCTTTTCTCTCTGAAACTCTCAATATTTTATTTTAAAATATTAAAAAAATTATTTTAAAATAATATTATAACACGTATCAAATAATTAAATTACACATATCACACACATATATATAATGATATATGTATCATGTACTAATAACATGATATATGTACTAATAACATGACACATATTATATATAAAATAATAACATAATGTCACGTTATAACTTTTAACATATAAAACTTATTACATGAATAACAACGATAAATTATTTATCTCATTAAAAATATTTTATCAGTTTTTTTAAATATAAAGATTAAAATGTTAGGATAAATTTCAACATTATGTCATTCTGCTAAGGTTAATATAAATGATTTAATTAATTAATTATGATTAAAAAATGAATATTTCATAGGGGTGTTTGGGAGCATTATCCGTAACCACGTTCATTTAGCATATACACGACTGAAAGGCCCTTTTTGCGTGCCCATGTTCAAGCCATTGGGGTTAGTCTTCGCCACAGTTTTTGGTGTTAGCTTCTTTACAAACAGCCTTCATTACGGAAGGTAATCGACTCTCCTCTCTGTATTATAAGTTTGAGTCTGCAAATACATGGAATGATAAAAAGTTGGATGAAATAAAATCATTTTTCCAGCGTAATGGGCACATTAATAATTGGAGTTGGATACTATACTGTGATGCGGGGACAAATAAAAGAAGATCATCTTCGTCGAGAGTGTAATATGGACCTGAACACACCTCCACTGTTGCACAAGGAAGAAGGCCACCACAACCATCGTTGAAAGCAAGAGGATATTATCTATTCCACAATGGTATGTTACTATTACGTATGATATACGAAGGTCTTTCACTGTAAATTTCGAATCATTTCTGCTGTTTTTTTTACTATTATAGAGGATAGAGTCACCAAGTTTTAAATGTCTGTCAAATGTGGTTTGCGCGAATTATATATATCAAGGATAAATGTTTATGTATATATTGGTGATTAATTTTAAATTGTTTTATCTTTTAGATTTCTGTTCTTGAGATATAAGTCTTTACCTAACAAATTACTTAAAATATAGCATAAAAGAGAAACTATATTATTCTAGCATTATAAGACAACATGCAGGAATACACCAAGTTTATATTAAATGGGAATGGCATTGGTAACGGAAGGGTAAACAACCGTGGCCGGATGAGCCATGATACGGCGGCCCTTGCCGTGCTTGAAGCAATAAACCAAAGCCCCAACAGGCCACTCCACAATGGCTGCCGCAGCAAACGCCAGAAAGCCCACCGTTGGTCCGACCACCTTGCATCGGCAAGGGTTGCTGGCGGTGCCGCACTGAACGCAGATCGGAACCCCAACACCCACCATTTTTAGGATTGTTCAAAGCTATCGAATACTAAAGCAGAGATTGAGAAGATACGGTTAAGATGAAAACTCGGAATTTGGGAATTGATTTTGCTTTCTTTGATGGAATATTACTAATTGATAGGTTTGGGAAATGGAAGTTTACAGTGTGGAGCAGTGGCGAGATGGGGTTTTTATGGGGTCATTACGTTTACGATGGGCTTTCAGCTTTATGACACGAATCAACTGAGATTACACGTGTTTATATGTGGATCGTACACGAGTTTAGCTTTGATTGTTCTAGGTGCTCACGTGTACATTCTTTTGTTAAATAAAAAAAATATTTTCAAAATGGGACAAATATATCTTAGGTCTATCAATTATTAATTCAATTATAAACAAGTTATGTTTAAATAACTCTATATAATTTAATCACATAATTAAAAAATTATTATAAATATATAATTTTATAATCAAATTAATATAATATCATTTAATATTTATAATAAAAATATTTATAGAAATAATTAAAAGATATCCAATACGACAATGCCAGTCTTTTATTCTAATACAGTAGCAATGGAACTCCTGAAATGACAGACAATATATAAATATGATGATATTTAAAAATAATAGATAGACCTTTGGGGTATTTAAACCCAATTTAGAATGAACATACCAGCGTACTCATAGGACTAACCCTTGTTATGGAATTAAGAAAAGGTTCGAGTACCTAAGCTACAAATCTCTGTTTAGTAACGGGAAATTTTAAAATTTTAAGAGGGGATGAATTTAAAAAATATATAGAAAAAATTTAAATTATTTAATAATTTTAAATTTTTAATAGATAATTATCACATCCACCCTCCTCACTCCATCCTTATCTTTATAGGTATGAAATCATGAAAGGTAAAGTTCAAGGGTATTTAGTACTAAAAACTCTAAATTGTGTTTAAGCCTATTATAGTTTTATATAATCTTTAAATGTTAATATTTTATGTTATATAAAACGTTTGTACTAATGTTAATTTTCCTTAATATGTTATGTCTTAAATTTTAATTGTTTTCTATCTTATCTAATCATATTTAAAATTAATAAATAATATTTCAAAATAGATGCTTGCTCCCCTACTTCCACGGCTTCGTGAAAATCATGACATTGAAGTGCATGGGAAATTGGTTGGGGGCTTAATTAATAAGTCGCTAAAGTAGAAAAATAGTTGGTATCGTGCAGGTGGACAATGGTCCAGTGCCACGGAACAACAATGTCCAACATTTATTCTTTTGTTTTGGGATGGCAATGATTATATGACCGAGTAGAAAAAGAAGTTTACAAGAGAATTATAATTACGTGTGATTTGAAATTTAAAAGAGAATGATCCATCACATAATGCTACTTTGAATGTATTGGTATCTTACATCCCACATCGGTGGACCGTGTGGTTAATATAAATTAATCATAGTCCATCTCTTAACCTTTGTCATTTTCATAACATCAATCTGTTGAACTTATATCGCTTTCAACACTACTAATAATTACGGGATTAGTCATATTGTTTAAATAAAGTCTTGAGTTCGAGTTATTGTGTATGCAAAAAATCTCTGTTAGGAGACTGGCCCACTAAAACCAAGTGTGTGACACGGATTGATCCGAATTAATTAAGACGAAGCTTTATGATTTGAACCATGAACTCTGGCCAAAAAAAAATTGAAAGTATCCTTTCAACACTACTTTTCATCCAACTAAACCTACTTCATTTCGAGTTTTTATTACATCTTAATCCTAATTTTATTTATAAAGTATATAAATCATAATGTTTACGAATAGAGTAAATTGGAAATATGTTGTCGATGATTCTCTAAATCTTTAACTTCTCTTGCTCCATACGTACTCTTGAGGAGATTTCTGTACTGCTAAACCTTTTCTTTAGCCACCACGTACTGGGAATCATATTATTCTTTGTAATCTGTTTTATGATACCAAGCCATTTCTTCATATTATTTGTCCAATTGTCTGTTTCATGTAACATAAGCTGTCGTTTCGATCATCAAACGTAGATAAATCGAGGCAAGGAAGAGAGACAAATGCCTTTGGGTTTAGTCTCAGCATGGAACAAGCGGCGGAGAAGCAATCATACAGCCAGGGGACTTACTTGATCTTCATTCAAGTTCTACTGTTGGAATCCCAGTAGTTCACAGAGATGTCAAGTCCACCAATGTTCTACTAAATGCCAACTTCGAAGCAAACTTAACCGAAACATTGGATTCATTTTCACGAAGCGTCGAGGTCAGAAAGCATTGGTAACAACTTGATTTTCACTCTTCGCAGACATCGGATTTTGGACAAGCCAAATTGATGCCAGAGTATCAGGAGACTTGTGTGACAGTCGGAGTTCTCGGTACATTTGGAAATTTCGATCCCGATTATACATCAGTATGCATCTTCTTGTCACAGTACTTTTGCCTACCTTTTCCTTTACATGATTTTACTCATTTCATTTGTCTTCTTTGGTTACAGACCGGAAAACTAACTTTACAAAGCGATGTTTACGCATTCGGCGTGGTTCTTCTAGAGCTATTGATAGGACGTAGAGCCGTCGACATAAACAAGGGACCAAATGATCAAAACCTTGTACTCCAGGTTAGGCAATTACTGAATGACAGGAAGAAGCTACGCAATGTGATCGATCCGGAAATGGCTCGAAATTCACACACCATCAAACCTGTAGCTATGTTTGCAAAACTGGCATCACGTTGTGTCCATGTCGAGAGCCGAGAACGACCCTCGATTCCGGAATGCGTAAAAGAACTCCAATTGAGTTTCTGTACAAATGCAAAAGGCCTGGTGAAGCAAAACCAGATTGTTTGCTAGTGTTTTTCCTTAGTGCAGCAATTCCTGAACAAATTACGTATGTTGCGTAAATACAGTGAAACAATACGTATTCTGCACCAAATACAAAAATGAACTTGTCACCTCAACTGCATATTGCTCGAAAGATTATAATTACAGGTCAGTTGAGAGATTAGCTCCTCCTTTGCTTTCACAATTATGCCGAGCAATGCTCTTCTATCGTATACTCGTTTCACGGTAATAAATAAAAAAAACAAGGGTAAACTATTTAAATGGTCACTCAACTTCTAAGCTACTAATGGTTTGGTCTAGGTATGGCAAGCGGATACAGTTTCGTGGATTCCACACCGCACCCGCTCCAATTGGGGAGGGGATGAGTATAATTTTAGTGGGTAGTGGGCGGGTGTGGATTTAGAAAGTGGTACCCGTTGCGGGTAGTGGGCGGGTAATGGGTTTGAGACCTTACCCTCCTCGCATTCGCCCGCTCAGCCAAATATCCATTAAATTTTGGACCATTATGAATTTAGGTGTAATTTTAGAGACTAATTTATAAATCCTAATATTGTATAAGATATAACTTGTAATTTAACCAAATATTAAGGATAAGTTTATGCATAAATTTTTTTCTTTCAAACCTCTCCTTACTGAGCCGATCTTTCAAACCTCTGGTTTCCACTCTCCAGCTTATTCAGGTACGTTTCTTCCCTTTTTACTTGAAATTTAATTTTTGTAAGAGTCATTTTTGTAGTCATTTCGTTTTAAGCTCCTCTGCATTTCGTTTTAAGAGTTTAAATTTTATTTTCTTGTAATGATTTTTAATTATTTTTTAGATTCATCTTAATGTTTGTTTTAAGCTTAATTTTTTAATGTTCTGCAAATCAGTATCTTGTCACTGAGCACCCATGTTTAGGCCAACAGAGTTAGATCGTTGCTTCTCAAACCTCCATTTTTAACGCCACTGAATAGAATTAAGTGTTAAGAGATTCAATGTCTTCCTTGTGCTATATTACTTTCCCTTGTTCTTATCCCCGAAATTAAATTTATGTTTTTTTATCTTTTACTAACTGTAGAGTTGTCAGTAGAGGAGTAAATGAATGTTCTACCCACATCTTTCACATTTATTTATGATAAGTAAATGCATTGAAGAGAAATCTTTGTAATGATATGGATGTCTTATCGTTTATGGTTAAAAGGTTGTAATTTTTTTTTTGATCATTTAAAAAGGGTATTCTCCTTTCTGGAGAGCTGCTATTTTAGGAGGTCTTAAATCATCTTAGTTTGCTTCGACAAAACTTAATTGTTCTCAGCTTTTGTTTTGGTTAAATTCGATGATATTTTCTCATGATTTTGATGGAACAATTTAGTTCAAAGAAAGCAGATGATAGGGAAATATAAATATATAATGTCCTTGAATCATATGCGTGTAATTCAAGTGTCCTTTCCTATTTTACTAAAAACATAGTTTTATTTCTTTTCTAATCCAATATAGATTTTCTTGTTGGATAACATAGTTATAATTTCTAAAGCAAACCGAAGATACGGGAAGTTTATTGCCTAACATATTTATTCAAGCGAAATGTGGTCTGCAAGCCCCATACTGAGTTGTCACCGATCGTTGGCCTGAGCTTGAAGTACGAAACAAGACACACATATATGATGCATCCCCTATTAGGTGGGTAGTGGGTGTGTGGATGAATTTGAGAATGTACCTGCGTGGACGGGTGTGGATTTGAAAATTTTTACCCATCATGGGTGGTAGGCGGGTGGTAGATTGAAAAATATTATGTGGGTATGGGGATGGGGGAGGGGTATCTGCATCAGACCCGCCCGTTTGCCATCCCTAGTTTGGTCATACACAAAAATACTTGCAATTTCGTCTCTCAATTTATATGACGCTATCATTTTGATCACTCAAGCAATAAAGCCTTAATAGTTAATATTTTAGTCACTCAATTTTTAAGTGTTAACGTTTTGATCACCTAATATTATTTTTTATGTTTAACCACTCAACTTTTTATGAAAGAATTAAAATTAATTTATTATTTATATTTTAATAATAATTTATCATTATTAATAATAATTTTTAAAATTAAACTATAAATTAAATTTTAATTGTAACCCCCTCAAACCGATACGGGTAACTCGATCCAATCTGGAGTGTCACATTAGGGCCACCGGAGCGACCCACTATAAAAATAGCGGAAAATTTAAAACTTTTATTAAAACATGTAAACTCATAAAATCATTTGTCACTATTTAAAAATAAAACAGATTTTCAGACTCGTATATAAAACAAAATACAATTATATGCCCCATAATCACATGTACCATACTCTGCAAGCAACTCCGGAAGAACTTCTTTACTGATGTTGATAGATGAACTGGTACGATTCTTTTAACCTGAAAAGGTGAGTAACAGAGTGAGCTTCAGAAAGCTCAGTAATACAGAACTACCAGATGATGCTGAAGAACGTGCATATACAGATAAACATATATTTCCTTATCAGTTCAGACATTTACAGATCTTTATGTTGAGCAGATATCATACAGATATTTCAGGTAGTAACAGATAGTAAGTGTTTAGTTCAGGGAAATATTTCGGATGTCTAGGTTCAGGAGATCAAAATAGGTTATCTAGTGTGTTCCCATAAAACCAGTAAAAAGATACAGATCTTTTTAAAACATATATATATATACACCTCATCCTTTCACAATCTGTTTGTGTAGGTTCCCCGGAACCATACATCCCGCACAACCAGTGAGACTCTGAGAACACAGCCGAGAAGCCTGCAGATATACTTCCTCCAACAATAAACCCCCCATATAAAAAATTTCTCCGTTAGTAAACGGAGATATCAGAAATCAAAACAGAATTCAGATCAAATATCATAACAGAATCCATATCAGAAATCAGAACAGAATTCAGATAATGTATCAGAACATAATTCAAGTCGGAAATCAGATAAAATATTTATGTGATTAGGGAACACACCAGAGTTTATGGATGTTATTCAGAGGTATAGGATAATCTTAACAGGGAGACACACACGGATCTTCAGTATACAGATAGAATGTCTGAATTTAGAATCACTATTGGAAGAGTTCATTAACTGATGAAATCATCAGTTATTCAGAATGTGAGTTGAGCTGATAAGGAATAACTAAGATTCAGAACCTTTACAATCTATGTCGATTGATTGGATTTTCGAATAACTCCAGATGAATAGCTCGCATAACTAATACTCGTCAACTTGTCAATTCATTAACCTTCCAGGGTATTTACTCTTTAATACCAAATATTCTTATCCATAGATCATCTTCTGAGTCATCACTGAATAGATCTTAAGGAGATGAACAAATGTTCTAATGGTCTTTATTTCATTTCCATGTTTCAACTATATCAGGAAATGTCGGCGTACTTGATTTATGGTTCATAATCCATAGGGATGATTACGTAAGTTCATCCGAGTTTTCAGGCTTATTCGAATCTCTTACTTAATCCTCAGTCATTGAGGTTACCTAGTTCATTTAGTAGTCAAGTCTATTCCAGCTACTTTGGGATTTTTCAGAGTAATTCAGATGTTTCTGAATTTCATATACATATTGTACTTCTGTTCAATTCAATTTGGTCTTCGTGGTTGATTTGTCGAACAAATGTTCAATTCTTAATATTGAATGCGATCTATAATTGAGTTGAGTTGAATACTTCCACAATTATCATCGAGCCAAACTTGAAAAGACGAACACACATTCAAATAATATCTATGTCGTTCAGGTACTGACATATCATTAAGGTTGATCAACTCACTTAAGTGTTCCATAACTTTTAAGGGTAGTACAACATCTATATTTACTTGTATTCCTTAATTAATCCAAAACATCTACTCAGTCTAGGCCATAAGGGAATTTTAGTCATTTTAGTGCTAAATGTTTTTCTATCCATTTTAAAGCTTGAAGATATTCATTCATTCCTGGCTTAGCGATACTCTTGAGTCATTTCCATTATAGGGGTATTTTAGTCATTTTACTGATCCAGCATATTTCAACCCTTTATAACCCATCTGATCTTATTATTTAATTTAAACGTACCATCTTTTCCAGTTCTTTCGAACAATTCTAACAAAAGAGCACTATCAATAATTTATTATTAATTCGAAGATTTTCAGGTCAATTGCCTTCTCAGAAGTTACAAACATGTTATCAGGAATTTTCTGTACAAAGACGGATCTTAACCATTAAATCCGTAATTTATCGAGTTAAGTATGAATTCTCAAAGTACTTTCTCATTCAGGGTTAACTCAAACTAGTTTACCTCGCAAGGGTATTTTCGTAATTTCTTATCCACATAATTTGGGTATTAACTCATAACGAAAATAATTATAATTTAGAGATCCTACGGTTAATTGTTTTCCCGAATATTCTTTGATCTTGAAATGATTCCTTAACAGACTTCTAGTATCTTGCGCAAACCCTTTTGGGGTTAAAAACCGGTTATCCACAATTTCTAAGCAAACTAGCATTTCTTATGCACATATGTACTTTTATCAGATCAATATATCCTTTCAGAGTTATTAATCAACTTCCAGGGATAATTCTTAACATTTTACAACATAAGGGTATTTTTGTAATTTTACCAAACTGGAGTATTCTCATTTTCTCATCCAAGTACCCTTAACGTTTAACATTTGACGAAATAAATTATAATCTACATATCCATGTCTGATTCCTTTATCACTTAATCCTAGAACTTGTAATTTAATTCCAATTGTCTTCCAATTTCTTATAATATTCATCTAAGCCATATTCAGTTACCTACTTTCTACCGCATTCATATCGAGTGTAGAACTTCATTAATTACACCTATGAGACCAAACATTTCCATTCATGCATTTACCAATACCAACATGTTCTATAAAGCATAAAGATGTAGTAATGTATTACCTCGATTTTTGTACCATACTGATCGACCATTAAATTCCATTTGAACGCCCTCGATCTTGAAATTAACTTCCAATAATTCC